GGGTTTTGATATCCGTAGTGGGCATAGCACAGACAGCCTATTGTGTAGCTTCGTGCTTAAAACAAACACACATTCGGTCATTTCACCTAACATTCTGTTGTTTATATTATCTCTATAATCTAAGCTTAAGTTTTATAATAATATAAATATCTATGGATATTCCTTTAATCTCTTTCTTCAATTATTCAAATTACGCACAATCAGTAGAAAGATGGCATGTAATTATAATTTAAAATAATATACAATATATGGCTGAAGATAGTGTCATTTTATGTTAATCTGAAAGAGAGATCTGTGCTCTAAATAAACAATTAAAGACCCCAGTGACGAAGCGCTAAGACTGAAGGCCTATAACGCTAAAAATCGAGTTTCGATGCCTATTGTGGGCACAGCACAAATAGCCCATTGTGTAGCCTTGTGTTTAACTACAAACAAACAAAACTTCTTTAAAAATGTTTCCTTTGAATACATAATTATCAAAATAGAACTATTTTCATTTTTATTAACTCATATTACATTTTATGTTGTGGTAGAGAAAAAATTATCATTAATATATGATTAGATAAGGCTGTTTTAGAGAATCTTTGTGGTTGTATTGTTTGTATACAAAGGACACTCTTCTATGCTGCATAACATTATTAAGAAGTTAACATTTAAGTAGCTTAAGAATAACACTGATTTTTGTGTCTTTTTGAAATCTAGACAGAGAACGTGATGGTATTTCATGAAAGATGTCAGTTACACACAGCTCACAAATAAAAATTAAAACTTAAAAAAATGGTTTCACTTCTTGCTAGTGGTTATTAATCTAAAGTGACAAACCAAAATCAAGGCAAGTAATTAAAAAGTTACCAAATTTGCCAAGATTAATCAAAAACATCAAAGGCTAGGAATTCAGAAAGAACGAAAACTATTAAAACAAGACGTCAAAACCATTTAATGCTAAAGTATAAGAATCCAACAAAAATATTTAAACTATGTTCATCGAAGTACTGACTTTATAAACGTACTTTAATTTGAACCAAAAATGGAGCTTTAATTGATCACACGACCCAAAATATTCTAGTAAAATCCCCCATAAGTTTAAATAACAAACAAAATTAATTTAACGTAAAGAGCCACACAGTTTAGCAGAAAACTGTATTAGCTTATAACAAACTGACTAAAGTTTAGCGTAATTCAGCCTACAGATTAAACAACTGAATAGAGAACTAAGTTATTTTATAACAAACTACCAAGAAATCTAATAAGAAACCTTAAAATATTATAGAAACAATAAAATAGCTTAAATCAAATTGATGTTTTAATTGTGCTGAGAATTATGAGGTCAGTAAAACAAAATAACTTTATTTAAAACAAATCCGAACGGTATATTTTCTTGAAATAGATATTTGGTTTTAAAAAAAGCAACAACACTTGAACCTGATAAAATAAAGCTGAACATAGCCTACGTGTGTTAAAAATACACATTACTCTATATAATAATCAAACATTATGTGAATACCATACACAAGGAAGTTGGATATAATAGTTAATTTAAGTATGTAAAAATCCAGAACATGTATCGAAGCTTCAAAATTTTCAAAGTTATTTTATTCATGAAATCAAAAGAGAGTAAATAATTTAGACACGTGTAATCCATATAACGTCATATTTCAGTTACTTTAAACTAATATAAAACTATATGTTGGTGTAATCTTTAGATATTATTGTGCTTTAATGTATCATTCTAGATGTTTATATATATGTATATAACATCTCCAAACAAAATATCATTTGAAAAAGATTTTTATTATCTTACTTAGCTTAGAGTTCAAACCATTAGCTTTAATAACTTCAACGGAGTATTATACTAACAAGAGCAAATTCGTTCTTTACTCGGCCACGCAAGTTGAAGTGTTTGGTTAGCTGTTTTGTTGGTGTTGTTGCAAGAAAACATATTTATTTGAAATAGTGCACATAAACTCAGCCTAAACTTGATAGAACACAATATAATTATGAACCAGTGGTTGTTCCATAGATACAGTAGATAGCATTTGTATTCTGTGTACTCGAAAAGTGATTCTAAGTAGATTTGTAAAACATGAAAGATGAGAAAGATGCAATAATGTATTTAAGTAAACCAAGAATACAAAGTGAAAATAAAACTGTATTCTAGAGGTGAATCCACGAACACTTGAGATTTAACCGCACGTTAATTGAAATTCTTCCAGAGATAGAAACCTCCAATCAAAAAAGTTCACTTTAATATTTAATGAAATAAGATATCATAAAAGCAATGATAAGTGCTCTTATGACGTTCGAAATGCTGATTTAATATGTCTCATCTACTTAGGAAATAAAACTGTCCTTTTTAATTTTAGATAACCGATGACCCAAAGGTTACGCAGCACCTACTGTTAGGTTAGTGACTCAATTGTTATAGTTAAATGATTGACAGTCAATATTACATTTTAGTTCTTACTGACCCAAAACTCACGAAATAGTAGTCCAGCCGTGTTAGGAAATGAGTATGAATAACTAGTTAGTTAGTGACTCAATCTTAACTCTCCTTGTTAATCAAAAACTTGATAAATGGTGCAATTACATTAGGAAATGAATTAGAATAACTAGCTAGTTGATGACTCAATCTTAACTCTCCTTGTTAATCAAACATTTAATAAATGGTCCAATTACAATAGGAAATGAATTAGAGTAACTAGTTAGTTGATGACTCAATCTTAACTCTCCTTGTTAATCAAAAACTTAATATATGGTGCAATTACATTAGGAAATGAATTAGAATAACTAGCTAGTTGATGACTCAATCTTAACTCTCCTTGTTAATCAAAAACTTGATAAATGGTGCAATTACGTTAGGAAATGAATTAAAATAGCTAGTTTGTTGATGACTCAATCGTAACTATGCCTATTGAATAAATGATTGCGAAACAAAATGAAGTTAATAAATAAGTATGAATAACTAAAGTTTTGATGAATCAACGTTACTACTTCCTGACGATTAGAAATTCAAAATAAACTTTTCTGTTACTTCCTTTCAATGCCAATGGATGATGATCTTTAAAAATACTAAGCAACGAAATTAATTGATTAATTATGTCTCTGCTAAAGTAACCTCACTATTTTATTAAGCTGTTGAAAATCATAAATGATCTTGGATCAGAACCCAAACGTTTTGTTCTTCAGAAAGCAAGAAATATACACTTGTCTAAAGTTCAGAACTAAAGTGTTTTTGCGAATTAAGCCCTGATTTGTGCCATAGAAAATCCATATTTTCATATCAGTTGAAGTTAGGCTTAAACTACCAGTAAAATATATTCTACAGTGTATATTATTAAAACATTAGACTAGTCTTTGTCTCTGTTTATTAATGCGTGGGTTTGTCGCTTTTGTTGGGATTTCAAGCACCTTTAGCAGAATGTTAGGCCTCTACAATGTCATTTTAACTGAAAAGAAATGTAGTGGCAGACAGAAGCTGATAGAAGTGTTTCGCTGTCTTATAACGTTTAACATTTACTAAGTGTTTTGGTTAAGCTTATGTGGCATGTGTGGTAACCTTTAATTATGCTAAAGTTAGACCTAAAATATACAATAGTAAGTATTTTTAACCCATTTGGGATCTAATGTATGTAAAGGAATCGTTGATTCATGCAGAATAATTTAAGGCCTCTTAGCGAGACTGTACTTTGAAAACACTGGCTGAAAAACAAGAGTAAACACGGTGAGATACGCATGAAGTTAACAAGGTGAACATGGTGAAACTATTCAAAACAAATCAGTCTGAGATAGACGACGATGTAAAATTTAGATAAAATAGTAACTCACCTTCTACAGCGTTGCTTTACATGTAAACAAATGAAATAAACAAAATAAAAAGAATAATAATATTGAGAAAATTATAAAGAAAATGTTACTGATGACATGAATGAAAATAAGACGAATTTCACCTTCTTGATCTAGAAATATCAAGACTGATAAGAAGCTACATTGGTTTTTAATTATCACCAACACTTCACAAGTAAGACATTTTAATAGCAGGTATACTTGCATCACTGATCAACCTAAAACCGTATATATTCATACATCGTGAAGAATATTTATTTCAGTAATTTGTCCCTTAGTCCACCAGGAAATAGACGAAAACCCACGTTTTGTTTCAATTCGTCTATACTACATCTATATCGATATATATATATATATTATATATATATATATATACATATATAACATCAAAAATGTATCTTTTGTCATTTGAGTGACATTAAATATATAACCATAAACTTTTAGCCTCATGAAAAAAGCACGTTATCAATACTTATAACATCTAGTGATCATTAAGTAGTCTGTTGATAGTATACACTTCAGGAAAACATAAGCAGGCCTTTCAGAAGCTACTTTAGTTTTATGGAGAGTAAACGATTAGATGGAATAGCTGTGTGAGAAAAACAGGCGTGCACAGGGATGTGAAATGTCCCTATATACCTTCACATAGAATATCAGGATTAAGCTCAGTATACGTACAGCCTCTCCTTCATTAACAATAATCATCTTAAGTATTCTGAGATGAAAGTGATTCTAAACAAGGTCCTACAAGAGCATTGATATATATAACATACATTTACAAGGTCCTGCAAGAGCATTCATATATATAACATACATTTACTAACAAGGAATATTATTATTTACAAAAACAACAAGTAATTTTAAATATTAATTTGAAAGATGAAAATCTTATATGGTGATATTTCTTATGCGAAGAATTGACGAGGTTTCCAGTTCATTGGGTGTCTCCACTTTTATTGTATAAAAACACTTGGATATGGATAATACCAGTGTCTTGAACACTGCGCGGGGTATCCTGATCATGACGTCACGTCAGAATCATCTGATGAATTTTAAATTGCTGTGACTTTTTTCAGGCAAAAGTTTGAAACTAGAATGCGTTGTTCTGCAAATTTCATTCGTACATATAAAACATTTACTTTTCCTTTTCTTTTCTTTTTGGTTTGAAATACAAAACTCCTAACGTGAACGACCAATATTAGGGTAATTGATGAGAGAAAGGCATTTCTTCACAACTCTTCTCATGTAAAGCAGGATGGGGATCAAGTGCATTCTTTTTTATTCAGAACAAACCGAAATATTACTTTTTATTAAATTAGACAAGCCAAGCAAAATCTGCTTGACGAAAATGACGTCACCAGACGGGAGTTTCACTTAGCGATTGATGAGAGAGACTCGGGTGAAAGGACTCAGCTGCAGAGGACCTGGGTGGGCCATAAGCATCGGGCACAGGTGGTAGGTTCAGTACAGAGTCAGGACTGGAACGTTGAGACAAGAGGTCGCTGTGGTGCTGAAGGTATGGGGCGTCTGCTGCAAGGTTTAGTTGGCCTAAAATAAATATATAATAATAATACCAATTTCAGTCACGTATAAAATAAAGAAAAAAGGTGTGATTTACTTAGTCTTCAATATAATATAACTAAGGTCAGAAATGATCTCTTAAGCTGTTCTTTAAGTATTTTGTTTTAAATATAGTGTATTAAAATGAAACTGCTACTAAGTCTCTCGTTTCCTTTATACACGAATATACGATAAAGTGTTCCTAATTTAAAAACAACGTGATTTTTTTGAAATATTAAAAACAAAAGAGTCTAAATTTATTGACGAAATACTGTTGCCTAACATCTTCATGTACTTAAGCATTAACATAGCATCGAGTTTCTTCTGATCAATACAACAAGTTAAGAAACACAAGGATTAATTCTAAATTATATTATTTGTTTTTCGTTTTCGCTTGCTATCATCTGATGATGGTGAAATGTTGTTTTATTGCATTCATGATACTAGAGAAAAAACACACAAGTTAATGACTTAAATGCTTCAATAATGTTAAACAAGTTAGGTATCATTGCATAGACAAAATAGTAAAGAACATTTTTCTTGTAACTGTATTAAGATACAGAAAACCCACTTGCTATGCATTTCTTATTATGGCGCCTCCTGGAAGTAATTTAAAAGCTTTAAGTTAGAAAATGCTAATTTAATCAAATGGGTGTTGATTTGTAATTTATATTGTTGTCTTTTTGAATGTGCAAGTTAATCATTATCAGATCCTTTATTTTTTGTGATTTTGACGAAACCTTTGGTAGCAGCTCTTAGCTAAAGTATACATGAAGAGATTTACGATCAATTTGCATATCAAACCATGAAGGTTTTAAAGAATGTAAATAAATCTGGTAAAATCAAGATAAACAATATGCATTTAATTCTGATGATCTTGAGGAAAATATAATCACTTGATAATGTTTTAAATTTGATACAGCAGATTGTCAAGAGTTATAGTTACTACATCTCCTTTATTTGCTAACGTTCTTATAATAGCGTCAATATCATAAAAGCTGAACGTCTAACACAGACAACCAGTCTCCTTCTGACAGAAAGCCAGGTTATATCGAATTTGTTCTGGCCTCAACGGGTTCGACACAAAATCAGAAAGATCAAGTTAAAATGAGCCTCGCAATTTCGCTGAGGTTGACATTATCGACTTGATAAACAATAATCTGTGGGAGGTACCCGTTGTCAATCTTTTGTTGAAATTATAGTTTACCAATGAAAATCATTTTTAAATCATATTTTTACAACGAGGAATAGATAAACAAAGACAGAAATCATATTTTATTATTACTTTTCATTTAATCGAGTAACTAACAGTGAAACTGATTTTAGGCAAAGTTATCGAATATCAAAGTTCTGACTATAACTTCAAATGAAAACTCATTATTTAATTTCTATAGTGAAACGAAACGCTAGACAAATGCGAGTGAGTAAAATAACTTATCTTAAATTTATATATTAATTTTAATTATTAATCCTGCAGATAACAAGAGGATCGCAGGACTTCGAAAAATGTAGATAAAAGGCAAAATGAAGAGATAGGGAGAAGGTGTACAATATCAATACACATAATTTCTATTATACATTTAGAAATAAAATAAACATGTAGCAAACACTGGTAGTAATAATTCATGAATGAAATAAAGGTGACTAAACTTGATCAGAAATTAAACTGAAGAAGAATGTAAGTTAATTGAATAAAATACACTGACAAGTAAGAAAATCCTGGTCAACTGACATTACAATATGAAGTCTGACCACAAGCAGATTTCGCTAGTTAAAGTCCTTCTGCTGTGTGAGCTGTGTTGAAGTGACCTGTTCGGTTTACATCGCTGTGTGGCTCTTAATCTTCATCTGCTTCAGTGTAGGGCCTGGCATTGCCAGATGGTTAGGGAGCTGGACTCACGATCTGCAGGTCGTGGGTTCGAATATCCATCCCACCAAACATGCTCGCCATTTTCAGCCGTTGGGGCGTTATAATGTGACGGTCAATCTCACTAGCTGCCTTTCCTCTAGTCTTTCATTGTTAAATTAGGGACGGCTAGCGCAGATAGTCCAACTGTAGCTTTGCGCGAAATTCCAAACAAAACAATCCTTCAGTGTTCTTGTCCAGTCAGTACTTTTAGGCCTGTTTGTGACATATGGCTTAGTTGATGTTTTCAACATTTTTTAATGATTGCTGAAACTCTTAGTTTGACAATTGAGCTGTTGAATGATGAGATGTGGTTCAGTGCATTTAAATTCAAGAGGCTATCATGCTACTGGTGCGTAACACAGACCTACTGTTTCTTTTGTTCAGTTTTGTGGCTGCTTTTCCAATCTACCGTCCTGAACACTTATGTACATTAGTTTATGGTACTTGAAGACATTCAAGAATATTTGCAATAGGTGGAAAATCATATATTAAATCCATAGGAAACATAACCAATGTTCCAAACCTCAAAAAGTTTGGACAAAAGCTGATAGCCTACTGTTCTGTGGTTGTGTATACTACAGTGACATATAATAGGTGACCATCAACCCAGTCATTCTTTTCAAAACTTACACACTTCACAGTTTGTATCACTCATTCAGACAGACCATTGCTTTAATTACATGTGGCAAAATTCACATTTTCACCACACCTAGTCTTCCTCACAATTCAGTAAACAACTAATTGTTAAATTGCATTCCTTCATCTTATTGAATTTCTTCAGGCGATCCAATGTTGAAATATCTATTTCTAAACTATCTGATCAACCATGGACTATATATAAGTATCAGCAAGAAGATAAGTTTTGGCCCCCGTGGTAATATAAACATTAATAACCAGCAAGTATTGATTATTGTTTCTTATTTGCATGAAAATTCAGGTGATAACCATAGTTATTCTCTACACTGGAGAGCCTACAATAGTATGTTACAACTTTACTTGGAGCAAGTAACTTTTTCTCTGGGAAACACATGCAGTACAGTGTTTACACTATCTCTTAATATCCTTACAGGAATACAGTCAGTAGACCTGCCTCCACGGGCTGGTCATTTTACTTAACCCTCTTATGAGGTGAATGTTTGGAAGACTTCCTGTTTCATAGCACTTGAAATCACTAGTTGAATCACAAATTGAGTTCCACAATGGACCATAAAAAAAGATTGGACAAGTTCTCCCTTTTGAACCTTTAGTTGTTGATACAATTGCCAGAGGTTGCAAAACGTCTGTGCTATGATTACTGAACTAAAGGGTTGTGCTTTAAAGCAGTTAATGCCCTTATCAAATCAACTTTCTTCAGCTGCTCTTCTCACAATTGTTTGTTTACCGTTCTCACTGCTAATATATTTATAGATCACTGTGGTAACTTCTATAGCAGTATTATGTCTTGAGTCAGGGCATTCTACAAGCAGACATGGCCGGTCTCACCAACAGGAGAGAAAGTCCATGTTCATTTCTGTGCTTCTATCCTAGTCATCGTTGCGCACTGAAGTTGTACTCTTAACACTGTTATCCATTCTGTAACGTTCATCAGCTGCATTCATGATGTATATATAGTCCACTGTAATTGTGAACTATCACCCATACAAATAGTGGCACTTGTGATTGACAAATACTGCAACTGCAATGATCAGCGTATGACTAGCATACCTGACTTCACACTCTACATCACACTTTACCTGCAATAATACTGCTTATATAAATGAATAACCTGACTTCGAATAGGCAAGCAGTGATTGAGGTGAATATTAAGAATCTTCTGACCATGTAACATATGAAAGTGGTTATATAACATATGGATTAGTTTTAATAAGGGCAGAAAATGATAAAACTGGGTCATCAAACATCGATGCAATTCCAAAAAACGTTTGAACTTCTCATATAATTGTGGGTTGATACCAGTTTTTCATTAATTTGAACTTAACAAGAATAGTAGATATGCCTTTCTTACCAATTTATTGTTCGAGGGGCTCTACTTGCAGAAACACAAGTGCACACTTCCCAGGCTTCAGTTTCAGGTCTGCTTTCCTTATGTATTTGAATACCATTCTAAGGCTCTCAGCAGCAAATAGAATTTGTGACCAAACATTGATATGTCACCAAGATGTAAAAGACATATTTTCCATTGTAAACCATTTAACATGTGTTCAATCATCCAGTATCTAACGCATTAAACACACTGAATGACATGGTGCAAAATTCATACGAGCCTTCTCAAGTGTTAGAAAGAGTTTTAGGTCTACTTGTACTGTCAGTTTCAACTTGCAAGTAGTCAGATGCAAGATTTAAAGTGATGGACCAGGAGATCCATCGGAAACATCATACATTGGTTTGGGCGGTAAAGTAGAAATGCACACACATTAATGGAGCATACCATTTAAAATAACAAAGACCTCTGTGTAATTTTTGTCCTTCTTGACATTCGCTACAGTTGTTAAGTACTGTTTCTTTTTGATGGCGAGTTCAAAATAAACTTAAAATAGTGTGTTAAAAAGGGACAACGTCGGAAAGAGTGACATTTTGGAACTACTCCCCATCAGATTTATAAGAGAACTATATAAAGTGAAAATCAGAACACATAACAAATAATTTAAACTTCGAAGTTCGGTTCCGAACAACCTTTTATTAGGCTAAGAGAATTATACAGAGCTAAAATCAGGTCGTACAACAAATATGTTGAGCTTCGAAATTCGTTTCTGAACTATCGTTCATTAGGCTAAGAGAACTATACAGAATTAAAATAAGATTGTACAACAAATACGTTAAAGTGTGATGTCATTTTCAAGCATATAAATTCGTTTTTCCAACGTTGTTTCTTTTTTGAAACGATATCTTATGTTTATTTTGAATCACTCAAGCAACGTCAGCAGAAATTATATCCAATTCTCTGATAGTAATCTGATGCCACTTCTCATATTAATATTTTGCAACAATCTTCTTAAGTACTCTGGAAGATGTGTGTTTGCATGCAGGTGCAGTGTAACTGAAGTAACTCTAGCTATACAGTAGTTTCAACTACTCTTTCTTCATGCATCAGGGCTAGAATCATTTCAACTGAGAACTGTAAAACCATCTACCCATAATTAGAAATCATATCCAGAATATATCTTGGCATTAAAGAAGATACTGCATTACAAGAAAACGTAGCTTGGTGCTTGGACAGAAAACATCGTGTTTCATGTTTAAGATTTTATGTTTGTTTGTTTGTTCTTAAGCACAACGTTATACAATGAGTTATCTGTACTCTTCTCACCGCGGGTATGGGACCCGATTATTAGCTGTATAAGCCTTCAGACGTATCAGTGAGCCATTAGTAGAGGGGTGTGTGTGTGGGTTTCATGTATAGTCCCCATCACTATCTTAACAGTAAGTAGCACATCAGATTAAGTTTGCAGTTTAATCTAAAACAATGCATCTGTATTCAAAGGTATTTTTATATAACTTTATAGGCGCACTCTTTAACATACTATTTCTGAGTTTTACTTAGCCAGTACTTGACACGTTTTCTGAAAAGTTTTGAATCATTTGTTTTATAGGCTATTCACAGATAGCTTATGCAGTACGTTTATACTTAATACAACTATGCTTGAGCCAAGTTCTGTTTCAGTTTCATTCGTTCTCTGTAACATAGCATCAATAACAAGACAGAATCAATCTTCTCCGATAACCTCTAGCTTATGTTTCATTGTCAGAAAGGAGTCAGAACTTAAGGACTTGATTTATGGTTTTGCTAAAAGTGCTGGAAATACTGCAAAGTCAGGTAAAGAATTACACACTCCACTGTCAGGCAAGAACTCAACCTTCTAATCTTGCATGACCACATGTACCTACCAGACTGCATTCAAGCCAGCTTGTGCTGAGCAAACAACTCATATTTTTAATAGGTTGATTGATATACTTTTCCAGGTTAGCAGCCATACCTAATCTGGGGTCAGCTAGTTCAAAGAAGTTGACAAGGCAGCTATCATTGCTTGCATCCATTATTATTGTTGCTATCAGATACTTATGCAGAATATCGACTGGCACCTCTTATTCTGGAAAGGAATTAGATGCAGGTAGTTACAGCTCCAACACCCATAGAAACTACACTAATAGCAGATACTCTAATCAATATGGAAGTGCTAACCATAACAATCACTCTGCACATATGTGATACAACATGTGTGACATGCTATTGGCAGCTTTTCTCAGTGGAGAGCCAAACCTGGCAATGTCTGTGTCTGAGCTATTTTCGGTTTATTCTGACTTTTCCAAGGAGCAGGAAACTCTTGTAGTGGCGCAATTGGTAGATCTACTACAGAAACTACAATAAACTCTACGTGAAGTCACCACTCCAAATCTTGTTTTAATTGATACTTCTTCCATGCAAATCAGAATGTTTCTGATGTGAGCTGTTTTATTACAGTGGCTGATTCAGCAGACATTAAAGCATATTCTCGGGTCTGCTGCAGCCATGTCTGGAAAAGCTTGGGTGTGTAAATATAGCATAACACCTGCTTAGACTGTCAGGTTTTGGCAAGATTTAAATTAAGCCTGATGTGTAGCTTGATTTTCAATTGGATCAAACCTGCATCTGAGCTATCCAATAATGATATTTCAGCCGTACAAATGAAACTTTATGAGTTTGTCTGTTGCATTTAAAACAAACAATCCTGAAGTACCAGGAAATGATGAATTACTTGGCTTGACATTCAAATATTTCATTCTGCTACCTGTTGAATCTTCAGAGCAGTTGCTCGATGTCCACTTTTTCTACTCCGTTCTTTGACAGTGGATTTATGTGCTTTCTCTTACCATTCCCCGCTAGATTCGGTGACTTCAACAATCTGATATCAACTTTCTAGCTAGACATCTCATAACAAATTCAAACGTAATAATGAATTTATAATCACTGGATAATTTAATTTATCTAGTTTTGGTTCACTTTCTGGAATGTAGGATTGCATTCAGCAACCACATTTGTCTCCAGACACATTACAGATTATTTGTATTCAACCTAGCAGTAGCATATACTTCTTATTCCTTGCTGAAGGTCCTCCCAATTAAACCATCCATAGTCTGAATTTACCTGTAATGAGTATAAAACAAGAACAGCAAAAGCTAAAAAGAAAGTAAAAATTGCCTACGTTTACAGAAACAGTTTCTTAAACTGCATCATGAATATGGTACTAAAATTATTCTAACCCACACTGTAACAATCTTGATTAAGAATAAATAGCCAGCAGGTAGTTTAGATTATGCAGATAACAAGAGGATTAAATAATTCAGCAAACTAGCAAAAGATAAAGGTTTTTGAGATGAAATTAAGAGACAAACTCAAAGTCTGCAATAAAGATAAAGATGTAATACCTACTGACAGTAGTATTTGAAAAATAATATAAAACCGAGTTGATGTGAAACCGAAAAAGAAAGGAACTTAAATTATTAAAATGCACTGGCTAATCGGATAATATCGGCTAACTGGCACTGAAACAAGGAATCTGACCAAATCTAATCCATGATAATACAAGGCTTAACTCCGAGTTTAAAAACAAACAAAAAGACTGATATAAAACTTACAAAGAATCGACCAGCAGAACTACAGACCAATCAGCTTAGACGAACTGGTCATTATATTCTCTCTCTCTCTTTTCACTTATGCACATGTGGGGCAACATCAACGAGGGGGGGGGGATACAAGGAATCTAGATTATGGTTAAGATAACGTTGGATTGGTACGGCCATAAACGTCTGCAGCCCTAATAAAAGTTTATCATTTCTATAACAGATATCCATGTTCCCACGATAGAAACAGGAATTGGAAAATTCAATATCAGATATTTTGTACGTGTATCTATATTATTTATTTTAGGAAGGTAGCACTATGGCACAAACATACCTGACATATTTATATATGTGTTTAATAAACTATCTAATTTCAGTTGAATTATGTAACTTAATAAAAGTGGATATTTATAAATTTATAAGATAACATAAAAAATGTGACCTGAGCAATTAATAATATGTTACGAAGCTTAAATATATAGAAACTAAAACATGCATGTTCATAAGAAGAAGAGATATACACTTTTAAAATTTTACTCTGTAGAGGAATTACAGAAACTAGCCAATAGTGTCAGTTTATTGCTTTGGATAATACCCGTTCTACAAATAGGGCGTTAGGAAAAGCAGGGATGTTTGTTGGAACTAGAATTTAGCAGTGTTAGTAATAGAGCTCCTGTTATATTGCCGTTTAGGGCTTTTTTTCAATTACATTGATTCGATCTGTCACGTTTCAAATATATTCCTTTATTACAAAATGTACCTTGCATCATTGGACCTCCAGGAGGTATCGCATGCTCCATAGTTCTCGAGGATGGAGGCGGGCTGGGCACTGAGGCGTTTCCCATCGGTCCCGGCGGGAAATCTAGGGAATCTGGAGGCGGTTGTTGACTGGGTAAGAAGGTGTAGAACCCTGGCTGAGCTCCGTAGGGAAAGTCAACAGGACTCCCTGAGTCTAAAGACGACAAAATTATTATTTCATATTTTTCTTTAAAAGTTATTTAAAATATTGTATCTTATCATACCCGTAATACAGGCTAACTTACAATCGGTACAATAGTACTAACTTTACTGAAGAGATTTGTCAACAGAATTAACACTTTTTATGCCCGAGTTCCTTTATTCTGGACAAAACCTTTATAAGTTATTATATCTTTCCATTCCAAGAGAAATTCACGTTAGACATAAATCAACTCTTTATGAAACATTTTACAGGCCAAAAAAAATTTCAGGCAAATCAACGTTTTATGGCACTATAGGAACAATTATTAAGGTAATACCAGACAGTTTGAGCACCAAGTAAACTTGTAAGTATTTCACATTCAATCCAACAAAGGTTGTAAAGTTTTTATAAATTAGTGACCGTTTCATTTCGAAGGCTGAAGTGGTTTTCTTATCTCAAATCATTGAAAAATATATCATGGTCATTTCACAGTTGATAACTGTGATCTCGTGAACAAAAGATGATAAATCCTTTAAAAAAAAGTTGTATCTATATGAAGCAAATAAAGCAAGGCAATATTTTGTTATAAACAGAGAAAGTAATATAATTGTTATAAGGAGAAAAAGAGAAAGAAAGAACAAACCGTCTCCTGAATACAATAAACAAATGAAAAAGTAAGAAAAAATATCTTAATTCTATGTACATGATAATTATATCAATGTTTTACTCAAGATATTTCAGAAGTTAATAATGGACTAGATCAGTTTATCCACCCATCTTTTTAAACAAGTCATTTTGCTCAAACATCCCAATAGGCAAATAAGGAAAGAAAGAATTTTTTTTTTTTATAAACAAAGAGAAACAGAAAATTATAATTAGTGTAGGGAAATAAATAAATGAAATAATTATAATTAGAAAAGGAGAGTAATATAATTGTAATAGGCAGATAAGGAGAGAAATTAAATTAATTTCTTATGAACAAAGAGAAAGATAAGAAGATAATTACTGCAGAAAAATAGAGAAATATAATTGCTATAAGTAGAAAAGGAGAATAACATCACTGTTATAGGCAGATAAGGAAATAAATAAACTAAAGGACATGATTATAGAAACTTTTTGAAGCGATATTACATATGAATTGAACCATTTCAGTAGAAATATCGAAATCTGTTGACAACTAATTTTTCTGATACTATACAACAGTAGTAATATAGCAGTAGTAGTACGGCCAATATTATAAATGTTTCATTGTCATGCATTTAACCCAATGCTATCGTGGGGTTCTTGTCTAGTTTATCATAGGAACATACAAGTTACCGCCTAGTGAGCTACACGTGTCTTATATTATACGGTTTAAGTCAAAATCATTTCGAACATTAAATGGATACAGCTCATTAAAATTGCCCGGTTCCCAGGACTCTCACACTTATGCTGATACTCCATGTCTCAGTTCTGAGTAGATCATGATAAAGTTTATGTGAGGACTTATTTGAAAGGTAGCTCTTTTAGTCTTTAAAATAATGCCGCTGTAATCTTACAACAAATCTGTCATAAACTCAAATGATTACAGACGCCATACACGGATTTCATATTGCTTTAACGACGAACCACGAAGAGCTAGCCATGGGAACTAAAATATTTAATTACGAATTAACACGAAAGATACACATGAACATCTTTAACATAACGTTCTATGAACACGTGGCAGATGTAATATATATATCCAATATACACTCATTTGAAAAGGGATCATTCAAAAATTATGTAACGCTATGGAGGAGGAAGGTTGGAGGATGTCGTGTATTGTTACGATGTGTCACAAGGGGATAGGGAGGTTTCATGAACAGTGTTATATGATATAAATTAGAGTAAAATCATTTAAAGTCTACAGGAAAACTTGCATTGAAATTCAGCATACTTCGATTTGAATTCAAAACACCTTTAATAACTGGATCATTTACAAACATGACACATGTATCATGTTTCAGAATAACTTGTTTAGTCAGATTTCGTATATATATATTTAGGTCCTAACTAGACCAACAAAAACAAATACTAGTACTGTCTATAGAAAGGGAAACAGTTTGCTTCTTATGATTTCAATGCTCTATCTTAACTTTATATCAGTATACCCTGCCAATATATATGTATACACATATAATAAGTATCTATATCGAGTGGTATTAGATAAAACTGCTTAAGTTATCCAAAACAACTTTCACGCTATGGTTGCGGTAAAAATAATTGTTATTATATATTCCAATAGCAGTAGGCCATACGATTACTTAAGAATTTAAAACTATAGACATTAGAGATTATCTGGTAGTGTGAGTTCTATTCTTGTATTTATCAAAGTTCTTTACATAACTGACTACATAATTAATGTCTGTATTTATTAAAGAGGCCATATAATAATTATTGAACTTATTTAAAGATATTAAATGATCCAGGTTAAGGAAGGGAGGCCTGAATTGTTAGTTTTACGTAATGGATTATGGGTGTTACGATATGTTACATGGGTGGGGTGTCAAAAAGGTAAAAAAATGCTTTATGTAGCTTTGAATGTTGTTGTTGTTGTTTGTCGTAAAGCACAAAACTACATAATGGATTAACCGTGCTCTACCCACAGAAGAGAGTATGCAGCGTAATACATTTGTACTGCTTCATTGTTATTGCTATAATTTACAGTTCATGTAACTATTCTTTCTCACAGCCTTGCTCTTATTGTTGTGCTAATTAAGAGAATTGCAGACAATCGTGTATAAAGGTCTTTAAAAGAGAAATAGACATGTTATTGAATATCAAATGTTCGTGTCAATATCTGAGTAAAGGTAAACGGATCAAAACATGTGAGGGCATATCTGCTTGTAATACAATAATTTAATATTACCATTAAGTTCCTTAACAATTGCAAATACACAGAATTTTATACAATATATGCACCTATATGCGTGGTTACCATTACTTTTTCTATATATTCAGCTGAAAATGCGATGTTTTGAGGAGAACAAAAATCCATGTTTCAGCACAGCACTTCCATGCACCTTACAAAAACCATATTAGATTTAACACATTCATATCTATAGATTGATTTAACCATAAAATCTAATTGTTTGTTTGATTTCATGCTGTATGGTCAACCTGCCATTGGCAGCATACTGATTCAAGTCGGAAAGAGTGGAACTCATGTCGTGTCAACAAGTTTTCGAAGCACCATTCTCTAGTTAGACTACATGTCACTTGCACATGGTCTACGCTTCACGAGAGGCGGGCTGTGTTCCTTCAGAGACTGCCTGAACGATCTCGAGACTAGGTTCGAGCATCCATTCATCTATCCATGCAGGAGGCCTCATCAGTGAAGCGCGAAATGAAACGAGGCCTAACGGCTGGTTAAGCTGGAAATGATTCCACTGGGTGCGTTAACCAATAGCAAGCACGAGCTCGATAAGAACATTTCGCCGTCCGACATGTAGAGATGGTCCGAAAGATAAGAATGCTCTGTGGCCGATCGATTTTGCATCGAAGAAGGGGAATTTGAGAGAATGGCGTTATTTTCCCGCCCACGGAGTCAAATTTAGACATATTCCCTCGTATCTTAACTCCATATCTATTAAAGGAGCGACCTAGAGACGCTAAGAACGAGACTAAGGCATCAGTAAAAGCTTTTCCTACAAATAGTTTATTCTCTATGCGTGGCTGGGATGAAGATATACCATCTACAATTTGATAAATAAGGCCACAAAATCAATCTAAGATACCAAATCCCATTTTTCGTTTTTCTTATCGAGTTATTAATTAAGCAGATTAAAGGTGTTATAAAGAACCGCACGGGAGAATAACAATAGACTATGAGCAACTTATAATTTGAAGTTACAAGAATTCTTAGCTACAGAATTTTAAAGTATGAAAAAAAAATACCAAGGTGTATAGATTTCGACCATAAGTCTCTTATGTTTGACTTACACGTCTACATCATACACTCAAACAATATACATCTCGCAACGCGCAATGTAAGTTACAAGTATGTTTTACTTTCATACATTAAATTAACTTTTTATAATCTTGATTCAGTTTGATCATTTTCGTTAATCCACCTTCAAAATTGCACATTTTTTTATCAAGTTTAAATAATAGAGATAATGTGACGTTTTAACAGAGATATTTTCCATGATTTTTACTGGATCTGGACATAAAGATTTAAAGCACAAATCTAATGTTTGTAGAGAAAGCATACTTGAATGAAAAAGTGATCTGAAACTCTGAGTTAAATATTTTTATTACTTGGTTTAATAACGTTTTCACGAAAAAGATTGTTTGTTTGTTCTAGAACAAAGCCACATTGGGCTATCTGCTGTGTCCACCGCGGTAAATCGAACCCTGAACTTTAGCGTTGTAAGTCCGTAGACTTACCGCTGTCCCCGCGGAGAACGTCATGAAAAAGAAATAAGAAAAATGAATGCGATCAGAATTGTAAAAAGAAAGCCATGAATAAATAGGTGTTTCTTATACTTTAAATAATGAATTATGTCGTTGTTATTAATATTCATTATTATTATTTTATAGCCGTCTTTCAGCATCTCTGTTGCCATCAAAATTCGAGACTGCTGTATTAAAAACCCACGGGAAAACTGAAACATCTCTAAATTCTTCCTCTAAAAATGTTCACATTTTCAAATAAAACGATATTGGTATTCCTATAGGTGTATCATCATGGTGTGCGACTGTATAGTAGAATTTCCTGATGAGGTTTGATTTTATGAATTATCTGACACTTAAGACTAGTTTAACGAAGTTTGTGATAGTGTAATAGGTGTCATTTATTTATTTGATTTTACTTACTAATTATATATTTCTTCTTGTCTGTCTTCCTAATAATTTTGAAAAAAAACCAAAAAACACGAAGGGATGAAAATTTAGAACTTTGATATCTTATGTATCTAGGGTCTGCAGTGGCCTAGTGATTAACATGTCAATGTGCGTTACGGATGGTCCAAGGTTCGAGGTTTCAGTTG